TTTCCGCGGCCAACAATGCCGGGCCCAAACCGATACGTCACGGCCTAAGTACAGCCTCCCGTGTGGATCGAACTACCCCATCTAAAGTCTATTTATTCGAGGCCGGGGACTTCTTGAAGCCTTCTCCGAGGACGATGCCATGGGTCAGGCGTTGGTCCCAGAACAAATAGCCTGCCTCGGGGATCTCATTCTCAAGGATCAATTCCGAGCCGGGGCCCATCGGAAGGCCCGACATCGCCCGCCCGCAATTGCTCGCAATTGTACGCAATCGCACACAATTGCTCGCAATTGCACACAATCGCGCACAATCGCGCACCTCGAGGAGTCGCCGGTCGCGATCGGGCCCCGGGCCTTGGGCCCTTTGACAGCCGCGACACTCGCGGCACCGTTCCTCGTCGTGTCGTTGTGTCCGGTAAATTATGGCTCGGCTTTCTCGCCGGCAATGTTGCTCCAGGGGATTGACATATAAAGTCGATCGCAAAAATCCCCCGGCGTTGTGCGGTCGGGCCCCGACTATATGCCGCTAGTCGGTCGGGCCCCGCTCGATCGAGCGACGTCCGAGATATCGTGTTCCGGATTTTCTCCAGGACGTCCACATAGCTAATGGGACCCTCCCAGAGTCCTCTTTCACCCTACCAATCCAATTCTAACGAAAGAAATTTTTTTTAATCATTTATATAGGCAGAGATTTTGGGACTAAGTCCTCTCGAGACTAACTAGGCAGCGCAAGGGGACTGATCATTTTCAAATATTTTTTCTCTTGACCGCGCATTCTTTTTGCCGATATTTTACAGGAGGATTTGTATGTTTTTGGTGAATAGTCGGGAGAGTGGGGGGGATCGGGCCCCTCTTTAGGGCCCGTCCCGCGAGGTCACGATTCCGCGGCTCACGATTCCGCCGGCGCTCGCTTCGTGCCAAGAGATTCCAAGGGGGCGGGCAACTCCACCTTTTATATAGTCCGTGGAATCGGGGGACGACCACGAGTCTCGAGTTATCGTGATCCGAAGCACGAGTCACGAACGCCATTGGCACGCCGATCCAATTCGACGCCGACCTCCGACTGGGCCCGTTGCTTTAACGAGTACCTGTTGCCCGTTGCGAGTCGACGCATTTTTTTCCGCCTGGTTTTTAACGTCGCTCCTCCGGCGAGGGGGGGACGGGTCGTTCTGCGGAAAGATTAGCCTAGTTGGAGGACTTATCAGGTGGGAGAGCGTTTTTGCGATCCCTCGTATCGCCCCTTGCTCCGGAGTTTTAGAGCCTTTAAGCCTTTTACTCGCTGGGCCCGACGAGGGGCCGGTTTAACCGGCCTTATGACCGACTAAACGGCTAAACCTGCCAAAAATGGTTAATCGCCCGGCTGATTAACTCGCCTGAGATACCGCGGTCCGAAAGCTCCGGTGGAAAATTACAGTTTGGAGAAAGAGCGCCGCGCCTTCGAAGGCGCCGCCCGAGAGGGCCTTATGGGCGAACCGGGCCCCGAATGTGGATTCGCGGGTAGAACGCCGAAGAAAGGGTGTCGGGAGGCCCAAAAGACTCGCAGTGCTCGAATCGCGCAATCCTCGAATTAGACCTCGGGCCCATTTCCCGCGTTCCTCCCGATCGCGGAGAGGGAACGAGGACGGTCCTCCATATAGGGCCCAATGGGAAAGTGAGTCCAAGCTCGGGGCCTGACATCTCCGAAGTTTTTGTTATCCAGCGCGTCGATGGCATAAGTCAGGGCCGAGTCGTGGGATCCATCGATCGGGGCCCAAAGTCGACCCCGTATCGACATCGGGCCCATTATCGGAGCTCGAATTGCCTCCCTATTATGTACACACGTTCTCCGGGCGTGCATTCCTGCAGAGTTCACCCTGGTTTCTCAGAGGGTGACGGAGGGGGAAAAGTTTCCGCTTCGTCTTATCGCCGGGAGAGGCAATCCAGAGTAAACTGACGGATTCCGATAAGGCGGGACTGCGGTCTGTCAACGGAGACTCCGCTCCGTTTTACTCCATTTTTACGCGGCCGCGTCTCGGGGCCTGATGGGAAGGAACGCGGTTAAGGCCCAAATCGAGCCCTCGAGGAGCATTTAATAAGGGACTCGGTTTATTAAGCGATGATTCTCTCTGCGGGCACGTCGGGAATAATCGAAAACGGGCCTTCTGGGCCCGGGACGGGCCCCACGCTTCCGGCCTTACGGGCCGAAAAAGGTGGCCGACACGGGTCCCCGTTGTTGCGGTTTGTGGAAACAATCACCGGGTTGTTGAAAACAAGGATATGAATGCATAAACAGCCGAGTTAACACGGGGGCCCGGCGTGTCTGGGCCTTTTTGCCGGTGTCCTCCCTCAAAGGGGCCGCGAGGCCCCGGCGGGGGAGAGCCCGGGCCCGACTTGTGTCGATAAATACGATCGATGTCGCCGTTAGTCCGAGTGGGCCCAACGTCCTCTGTCGTTTCTATTTTTTCCCCTTTCCCTTTATTCCCTCCCCTTTTTACCCGCTCCCTTCGCTCGCTTTCCGAGCGGCCTGGCATCTCCGGCACTCGGGCCCCGCGCCGCGGCCGTGGGGCCCGATCGGGCCCCTCGCCGGGACCTCGCGGAAATTCCTCCTTTCTTGCCGAAACTCCGGGACTTCCTCCATCCGAGGGCCGCGTTCCAGGGGCCCTTAGCGGCGAGGGTGGACCGATTTGCAAAAAGCCTAGGGCCCGGGAATTCGATCCGGCCCTAGGGCCCCGCGACGCCCGGGAATGGCCTCTTCCTCGAATGCCCTACGGGACGATTCCCTGAAGCTGCAACCAGGAATCATTTTTAAATTACACGCCATTACGGGCCCCGTTCCTCGCCATTACCGGCGTCGCCTCTTCCACGTATTCGCCGACTCTCAGAAAATCCGGAAGGACCTTCCCGCCATCTTGGATTTCCTCTCCTTCCACCCACGTCCGTCCGTCGGCTTAGCCAAGGGCGTGAAGCCGGTTCGACACATAATAACGCCTCGCTTTTATTATCAACGCTCGCTCGAGTTTAGGAAAGCGCGACGTACCGGGCACACTCGCCGCTGGAAAGTGCGTACGTTCGCCGGTGACGTCACCGCGCGGTCTCGCCAGGCCAGGTTGTTTATTATTTATAAAGCCCCTGGGCAGCCGGGCCACCGGTTCGCCGAGGTGTGTACGCGCGTACGGTCTACGCGCGCTCTGGGTGGAAGCGCGAAAGCGTCAACGCGTGGACGCGCTTGTTCACGCCTGGAGAACGCCTCGCCCCGACCTCCCGTCGACGCTCGACGTCGTGACGCGAATAAAACCGTCCGAGAAACTCTGCTCCACGTATATTTATTCCCACGAGTATGGAGAATTTCCCTGAGGCGAGGAAAACATCGAGATTTTCGTCGCGGCGCATCCAAGATGGCGGCCATAGCTCTGCGCGTTCTCGTGATCCCATCGCGGTTCTCTCGGAATATCGTAGACCCTTGACGCGCCGCGACGTCGCGACGCGAATAATATCGTTCAAAGAACTCTACTCCACTTACATTTATTAACGCGAGTATCGAAAATCTCCCCTGGAACGAAGGAAACTCCGGATGATTCGTCGTGTCGTCCTAGACGCGGAAGTCGCGGCGCATCCAATATGGCGGCCGCGTCCCTCGCGCGTCCGTGACCGCGTCGCGGCGTCCTCGGGACCCTCTACGATCACCGATCGCCCCTAAAAACCGTACCTTACGAGCCATAAAGTCGACGGCTATCCGCGGGACGTCGCAGCCCGGTCGGCCGTTTCGCAATTAACGGCTTTGCCGGTGGCGCCCGGCGTTTTAACTCCGGGTTAACCTCGTCATCCGGAACGGAATGCTTGGAACCGGTTCCCTGGTGCACGCCGTTCCACGGGGCAGTTCCACGAGGAATCGCGTCGCAGTGTCCCGAAGGATCGATCGCACCCCCGCGAGAAACCCCAACGAAGACGGTACCAGCGCCGCCATCTTGGTCCCGCGGTCTCTGCTCTCGGAGACGTCGAAAACCTCTTCAACTCTTTCCGTTCTAACCTCACTTCCGCGGGAAAAATCCACACCTTCCCGACGCGGTTTCGGGAATATCCGACGGTGGTTGGCGAACCGTCCTTAAGTCACCTTAAGTCAGTTTAAATCCCCCTAAATCTCGTGGAATCGCCTTAAATCCCGCGACTCGTTAGGATGGTGCTCGATTGTCCGGCGCAATTAAGGGGGATTATCCGGGACGGTGACTAACGAGAGGCGCAATCAGCCACGGCGGTTGCCTTTCGAGGTGATTTGTTTAAGTCGATCGGTGAGCGTCGCCCGTTGCGCTTCCTCATAAGGCGAGCCGTGTTCGTCGCCCGGCAGGGAGTGCGAAGGAACAAAGAGGAGAGGCACCGAGAGGTACCCAGAGGAACCGGGAGAGGCACCGAGGGGCCAAACACCTGCTGTTCCCGGCATTGTCTACTCGCCTCCCCGGGCCCTCTTCTTCCTTTGCCTTCGCCGCCTCCGAGGGGAATCCTTGACGCGTCTTCGCCCTCCAGCCTCCCGAAGAATTATCCCCCAGAAAAGAATGACTAAACGCGAGAAGGACGCCGAGGAGACGCGACCGACGATCGCCCTCGACGAGACAAGATATCCTGAAGAGGACGTTTAGGAATGCCGGATATTTTAGTACAGATTTAGGCGGCCCTTTTTTTTTTTTTTCTTACGAGGGCCTTAAGACCCCTAAGGTCTCCCAAAGCGATCCGAGAAGTTATCGCCAAGATGGCGGTGGTTTAGCCGGATCACGCCGTATCTCCGGATTCCCGGGGGACGTGCGAGCCTAATTGGAGGTTACGACTGTTGCGAGGAGTTGCAAATTTACGGATGAAGCCTCGTCCTCTTATCTAACCTAACCCGAAGGGAAGGGGAGCAAGAAATTGGTGCTCTGCCACTCTCTTGCCTCTCTTCTTCATCCTCTGTATATTATCCTCGGTTCCATTTTTTTTTTAAGCAGGTACCAAAGCACTAATTGTTTATTATAAATTTTTTCCCTTTTTGCTTCCAGGATGCCGAGATAGCCCCGATGTGGTTCCGGTGAGGAGACCGCGATGGCAGCGGCCCCGCCGCTGGTCCCCGGCGACGTTGGAAGAACCTCGACCTCCATCACTAGAGCCTTCTTCAGGGTCGACCTGGAAGGGACCGCCGGTCGGTAGAGGGCATGCGAGCTCATCATGTTCAACCACTACCGCGGCCCGCGAGCGCTGACGACACCTTGCCTCTTCGCCGCCGCCATCCTCTTGGTGGTTGTCGGTAGCTACGACGTGTCCGCGGACCTCAACTCCGAATTCGTCAAAGGAAAGAGTGAGTATAGCGGAGAGGTATATACTTTTTGCGATTATCCTGGGAACATTGGTATCGTTTTAAAATGCATACAATATGTATGTAACATATGACATTGAACAATATGTCCGCGCACCTCAACTCCGAATTCGTCAAGGGAAAATGTGAGTATAGAGGAGAGGTATATACTTTTTGCGCTTATCCTGGGAACATTGGTATTGTTTAAAAATACATACAATATGTATGTAATATATGATATTGAACGTGCAGTGCTAGTTCCATGAAAGCGTCTCCGAGGTTGCCCAACATCCTTTTCGGGCGGGCCCTAAAGTCGGTCCCCGAAAGTAGAGAGCGACGACTCGAAAGTAGAGAATTCGAGGTATCGTGGGCGTAGGTTGCTCGACCTAGTCCACCTTAGGCCCTTTTTGGAGAAGGTGGAAGCCGAGGTGGAAGCACTCCCACGGGAGGAACTTCCTCTCCGACCTCCTTACGCAATTAGACGAGCAAAGAGAGAGAGAGAAGGGACTGGTGGAATCCGGGCCAAATACGGAGCAGAACGTTCCACCGGTACTCTTCCCTTCTGTCATTCACCGTGAATCTCGTTACCATAATTTAATAACCGGTCGAATCAAAACCCGCCTCGCCGCGGCCATAATTAAGTGTCTCCAATGACATTGACACCGGAGCGGCACCAGCTGAAAATCTCGGTTCCGGGGCAGGGGCCCGTCGTGGGCCTTTCCGCGGGAAAGCGTGGGCCCGAAACGACCACGTGACTGTTAGGGCTGACCCAGATCGGGCGTTCTCTTCGTTTCGAGTCTCCTCCACGAGGAAGGGAACCAGTTTCGATGGGTTCGAAACTCGTTCCGGGCACCTCTGGCCCCGGGTACCTACCGCGCGACGGGGCCCGGGCCCCGAGGCGAAAAACGAGCCCAGGGGGTGATTAATCCCTTTTTCTGATTTATCATTCGCTTCATTAAAATGCAATATTTCATCGATTATCATACTTTTCGTGCGGCCGGCCCGTCACCCGGTTCTTGTCCTTCTAGGTACCCGCGACTAAACGAGTCCCAAATACGGAGGTAACGTCGCCTTTTTTCCCGAATTTCGAGGGGGCTTCCTTTTAATTTATCGGCCAGAAGTCTCACGAGAAGTCGTCGCCGTTTCCCGGCGAGATCTCGGGCATACTGAGGAGAGCGGGCCCAAAAGTGGGCCCCCGGTATCGGGCCCGCGATATCGGCCAGAGTGGCCGTAATAAAGGCTTTCGTTAAAGCCGGTGATTTATCCCCTTCTGGGACTTATCACCGGGCCCGACTAAAGTGCGGCCCCCTCCTCGCCGAATCCCGGAGTATCACTGGGCCCGTCACTCGGGCCCACCGCCTGCGGAGAAAGCGCGGTCCCCGAGCGGATCGCTCGCGGCTTTTTGCCGGCATAAACCCCGGCGACGTCCCGCGGCAGGGCCGCGGCGGATTCCGCGCGCGGCAATAAGGCCGAGGTGCCGGGTCCTAATTCGCAAAAAAAGGCCCCGAGACGAGGGGCCTCTCGGACGGCGATTTCTCTCCCCGGGGCCAATTCATCGCCGGAGATATCGGCCCGAAGTGCCTCCATAAAGGTTTCCATTAAAGCGATAAGGGCTGAAAGCGAGTCGCCTCCATTAGCGAGGAGCTTCTCGTGAGTTACCGGTCGTTGCCGCTGAAAGCGCGCCTCCACCTCGCGGAATCGCGAGTGCACCTCCTCGGCACCTTCTTCAAGACCTTCCTCTACCACTGATACCCCTCCCCGAGGATCGGAAATTGTTGCGATGATTTTTTTTTTTTCGGACCAACTTATAAAACACTAAAGATACCATATCGGGAGTCGTTACAGGCGGTCGCGTATGACGCGCCATTGATGACTCCCACTGTCTGAATCGACTAGTGTCTTACAAAACGTCGCGGAAACGTGTTTACTGCACCGCGAGGCGAGTGGGCCGCCGTTAATTGCTGATGTCACCAGCCCCGAGCTGACGTCGATTTAACAGTCCCCTGTTACCGCCGTTACCGGAGACCGTAAATAGTCCTGCCGGCCTTATCTGCGCGGTAGAAATGGGGTTACATGGGCATCGATTCCCGTATAAATTACGCGCTCGATCGAACGGTGTCCCCCCGCAACGCGGATAAATCCCAAGGAAAGTCTCTCGGAAGGGATCCCTGCGGTTTCCGCTAATTGACGATGTCGTCACCGCCCCGGGCGACGTCGTTCGGGCATCTCCTGGACCGCTACTTGAGGCTACTGTTATACGTTCGTACGTATATAGATTTAGGAATTTACACGTTTACGGCGACGTATATCTCGCCGCCGATATATGGTCGCCTTGGAGCAAGACCACGGGACGCCGAAAGCCCACGCGGGGACGCGCACAATGCGCGCCGCCATCTTGGAATCGACATCGTATGTACGATCGTTTCGTAAGACCTTCCCGCCTTAATAGACCGCTCCCGGAATATGGGAGGCGGATTGAGACGTCGAGCTTCCGAGGGACCTTTTTTGTCCAGGAAGTATGGCCAACCGACGTCCGGAAGGACGCCGGTACTCGTGTAAACGACATCGACGACGAGCGCCAACACGCGTAGATAGCACTGCAGTGGGCGAGCTTTGTTCGGGTGTCGGTCCGGTTGCCTTTGGGGAGGCATTCTCCAGGGACGTTAAAAAGGGATCCCTGGAGCATCCTCGAAGGACGGAGTTCCCCGGTCCCAGTACTTACCCCTACTGGGAGCTGCCTCCCTCCACCAGTCGCGCTCCGCGTCACGTGGCCGACTGAGCGAGTGATGGGAGGCAGCGCCGGCCAACCACGGCGAGCCGCGCTGCGCGCGCATACTACTATCCCCTCCACTTCCCAACTCCTGCTCTTGGTGGGGGGTACACCGCATCGGTCAAGGCATTGAAAAAAAAGTCTCACCGGGGCCGTGATCGGTGTCGTCGGCAGCTCGTCTAATCCCCAGGGGAGGGTCCCCGATAGCGCTTTTTATTGGGACGTTTCCTAGCATATCTTGCAGCCGTTAAGTAGCTTACACCGCGGACGGATCCGCTATGTAAATGCGGCTTAACGCGAATTCCATTAAGCTGGGATTCCTGATCGCGGGCTGTACACAACTCACACGAGGATCCGGATGCTGCATCCCCGGATCTCCCCCTGAGATGTTCTTCTAATCCCATTTTCATTTACCTTCGTTATCGGTCCTCGTTCCTACGAATTTATCGAGAGGTCCTGGCGAACGTGCCGCGGAATTTATGCGGCAGGACGCAAACTCGATTAAGGGGGTTTAATATCACACCGCGGCGCGATAGTTCATACCGGGTCCCGTTGGGGCATTAAGGCGCTACACGTGCCGCACCTGGAGTTATTAATCGCTTCCTCGGCGCGTCTCGCGCCTCGCGAGAAGGCCAACAGGTGGCGGGATCGAACGAACGCTCGCAATTAATTCGATCCCCATCTCGCGTCATCGACCTATCGGCCGGCGCCTCGGCCGCGCGGAACGGCGGAATCGGTGGAACTCGTAAATCGATCCGAACGGGTTCCACCTGCGCGTGCGCGCCACCTGGAGGGAATTCTCCGACACGTCCGCCCGGAAGCCTTCCGAAACCCTGCAAACCTGATTCCCCGGAATTCCTCGCGCTCCCGTTAACGACCGGCCTTTGGTCGGCGGATGAAAGTCCTTCTGCGTGTTTGTCATTTTTTTTTTCTTTCCCTACTTAACATTTTCACTTTAATTAAATTATTCACCGCCAACGGGGATTCCGGATTCCTCGGATTCCACGTTATGGCAGGAAATCGAGACGACCTTTTTAGTGATTTTCTGGAAAGTAAAAAAATGAATCTTGGGATTTATAGGGAGGGATCATGGGGTTCCTAGGATAAGAGGAAAGTGTTTTCCCGGCCGAGGAAACGCGGAATGAGGGAGACGTTACGCGCTACCCCGTAAAGGCAGTGGAAAGCCGTTTGCCACTGGATGCGGCTCGGCCTGCGGAAAAGTGGATCCGAGCGGCTGACACGCGGAACGTGGGAAACCGAATTTCTTGCCGAGGCTGCGTTTGCCCGATGGCCCCCGGCACTCTAATTGCGCCGTAATTGTCTCCGCCGTTCCATCACGACGAGGGATCCCGACTATTCCCATCTGCCGCATCCAGCCGGGGCGACGATCCATTTTTTATCGGGGTCCTTTTATCAAACCTAGCCGAAGATACGGGAATACATCGAGAGCCCGAGTCCGTTGAATCCGACGGAAAGTAGTCTATGCTCCGAGATGAACGAGTCGCATTTGACTATCTTTCCCCGATCTACCTCGGGTCGCATTATCCCCAGGGCAGACGGATAAAAGGCCGCCATCGGGGATTCAAAGTGCACGCCGAGGACGTCGCCGACATCGGGGTTTACGTAACTAATATGAAAATCGGAGGCGATCGACCGAGCGATCTCCGTCGACTCGTAAAGAGGCTGGGATCGTTGAATCTAAACACCGCGGAGTCCTTGGACGGTTCCTGGTCCAGGAGTCGAGGAGCCCAAAGAGGGTCTCGCGACTCCGTCTACGCGGAATCCGCAGAGATCGAGAGCGGATACTCCCACGAGCGAATAGGCATGCCTTACACGCGCGCGATTCCGCGTCCTTCCGATCTGGTGGACGTGCGGTCTTCGCGCGAACAGGGGGCGAGCTGACAGGGTGGTCGAGGGCACGCGTGACTACGCGCACAAAGCGCATCTCGGTGCATCTCGAGATGCATCTCGAGATGCGCCGACGAATGCCGCGGCCCAGTTGCGGGCGATTTGTCGAGGATGCTCGACGAGGCTCGACTTGGGGCAGGTCGCGGATCCATTCTTGCTCTCGCTCCGAGGCCATCGATCGCCAATAAAGGGGGACTCTTGACTTATGCATCCACTCGGCGGCTCCATTCACCGTGCCGGATACGTCTCACCTTCGCGACAACGTTGTTTCGCCTCCGAGTCGAATCTGCATAAGTCCGCTTCTGGATCCGAGGCGCAGCCTCCGAGGCGGTCCATCCTCGTCCCGAAGCTGCCTGACGGGTTGACAGGAATAATGATCGAAATCTAACGTAACCTCCAACTCGTGTTCTTGACGTTGCAAAAATATGACATTGGCGAAAATGTGGAAAATTGGAATTTTCAGTGATTTTTTTCAATTTTTTATTTGCGTGGTTTTCGAGAGCGAGCCGAGTCGGAGGATGCGACTTTACTTGGCTGATGGACGCGGCGCGGGTCCACCTGCTTGGACCAGAATTTGACCTTTTGTCGAGGGCCCCTCGGAGATGGGCCTTAAGGGGCCCGCGCCCTCGGAGTGGCCGGGCCGGTCGGGCCCGCTGCCGGCTGCGGCCCGCCGAGGTGAGACTCGCTCGGGCAGGGGGGCAGAGCGGGGTCGGACGGGGCGGCCTCGGGAGCCGGTTGGGCCTCAGGCCCAGGAGTATCGGCACGAGCGAGAGGGGAGAACAAAGCGCATTCCACGTGCCGTCATTTGTTCCTTGTCCGAGCTCTGCCCTCGGTACTTCGCCTCGATTCGTCGGCGCTGCTTCTCCGGAAAACCCGGGCCCAAACCCGGGGCCCGAGCCCGGGTGGAACCGAAATCCAGGGGAATAAGTCCCGCGATCGCGACTCGAGGAAGCGGACGGGCTTTCTTTATTATGCGAGAAGATGTGGGCCCGAGCTCGATCGCTGGGCCTTACCTTCGTAGGAAGTGAGCGAGTGCCCGACGTAAGGCCCCGAGTCCTCGTTAAACCTTCGAGGGTCAATGAATCGCGGCTTGATAAATGGAACGTCGCACTCGGCCGATGTTCGTAAACATTTTGCAAGCCGTTTTATGCGCCTAGATAGGAATTGCGGAGGGGCCCAGAGGGAGGGGGGCGAAAGGGCCCGGCTTCGTGGTATAAGTCGTACGCATACGTTACAACCCGTGGCACAACCGTCTCAGGTCGTAGCATTAATAGCTTTATGGTTTATTGCTTTCGAGTCTGCGGTCGAGCTCCTCCGTTCCCTGTCGGGCCCCGCCGCGTGTCGGGGCCCGCTGACGTTTTTACGCCCGCGGACGGCCAACGTCGAGAAACGCGCATGGGACTCGAGCGTAAGGAGTTCCACTTTCGAACGCAAGGAGTTCCACTCTCGAAGACTCAAAAAGAACTCGAACCCATAAGGCCCATTATAAAATTCTGCAGAGTTCTCGCCCAGACCTCTCCGCGGAGACTCAAGGGCGTTCTCCAAAATGGCCGCGGTGACTCTGGCCGCGGCCCGCTGTGGTTTTTGGCCATAAGGCCCAGACGAGGTCGACTCGAGATTTTATTGGGAAATGAAAGAACTCTTCCTCTCGGTCTCTATTGTTCCTTCGACACCTCGACGCCGAGTCCGGAGCCGCGGTCGGTCCCTAAATTGCCCCCCCGTCCGGGGCCCACTCGCGGGCCCGGGCGCTTATTTCGCGCCTTTACGATACGCCGTATACCGGCCTTTATTTCTGCAGATATTTAGCCTTAGGCCCGGCCTAAGAGCGAGGTATCGATGTTTACGAGCTCGGTCGAGCGGCGCCGCGACGGCGTGTGCGGTTCCTTCGTATTACTTTGGGCCCGCCATTAAGGGCCCAAAGTGCCGCCTCTGGAGGCGGCGGGCCCACGAAACGCGCGCCGAGGTGCCGCCGCGTTTCGCCAGCTCGTATTCTGGGATAGAAGGGACCTTTTACGGCCCGTCGAATGGGCCTTTCCGAAATCCTGAGCCATGTACATACATGTATTATGTACCACGTATCTGTGTACATTTTCATTTATCCTAAACGGTCATTTCCGAGTTCCCAGGTGAAGGGGAAATGGCTAAGGCAATTTCCAACCCCGAAGCATCGGGCCCCTTTAGTCGAGCCGAGAGGCGCCTCCAGTAATTCTCTAGGTCTGGAGAAGCCGAGAGTAATTACCCCGAGTAATTGCAGCACGTCCGTAGTTGACGCCCCCAGGGCCGTAATCGATACCTTGCCGGGTATTGTTTTCGCGCCGGGCCCTCGTAAATTCGACAAAACATTCCTTCTTCCCCTGGAGCCGCCATTTTGGAAACCTCGGTCATGGCGAGGGCGCGTTGCCCTCTTTCGCGTTTTCCGTGCCCTTGAGGAAAAAGAAACGTGGATAGATGGAGGTGTACCTCCGTAGAGGGAAATTTAAGGGAACCGCCGATAGGTCCCGAGGTCCTGGAGCTAAATCCTTCGGGATCCGCCATGGAAATTATTCCCGGCCGCATAAATCTGCCTGGAAACGAGTCTCTGACGTCGAGTGGCGCCACGGGCGGCTGGAGAACTGGAGAACGCGAACGGTGCTGGATGCAATTTTTACTCCCCTCCCTCCGGGAGGCTTATCCTCTGCAAGGAAGACAAAAGCAGCGCCGATAAATCTCCGGGAACGCGAAACTCCACAAAAGAGCACTGGGGGAAGATAACCTGGAAAATAATACAAAATAACCTACGATCACCTCTGACCTCGCACCCGTCAGGATGGGATTCGTTCAGGCTTAGATTGCGGATAGATTTTTAAATTGCGGTTTTCCACCTCGGAGATGCATCGCTTGGGTCGGTCGTGCAAGTTCGAGGTGACATTGAGCCTGCTTGAAAATGATTAACGTTAATAACACAACGGTGTTTATCTTTGCGCAGTTTGCATCGGCACCAATGGCCGCCTTTCCGTGCCGTCCAACAAGCAGCACCACTACCGGAATCTTCGAGACCGGTACACCAACTGTACTTACGTCGACGGCAACCTGGAGATCACCTGGCTTCAGAACGACACCGTGGACCTCAGTTTCCTGCAGTACATCAGGGAGGTCACAGGGTACGTCCTCATCAGCCACGTCGACGTCAGGAAGATCGTCCTGCCGAGGCTGCAGATCATCCGCGGTAGGACGCTCTTCAAGCTCAACATCCACGACGTCGAGTTCGCCCTCTTCGTCACCATGTGCCAGATGTACAACCTGGAGATGCCGGCGTTACGCGGTAATTAAATCTATCCGATTTAATCAGACGTGAAGGAGGGAGCAAGCGACTTCCACCGCGCGAGGATGGATCCCAGGAACTATTAAATTTGTCTCCTTCGTTGCAGATATCCTCAACGGCAGCGTCGGCGTATACAATAACTACAACCTCTGTCACATTAAGACGATTAATTGGGACGAGATTATAACGGGTCCAGGAGGCAAGTACACTTACGTGTACAACTTCACCTCACCCGAGAGGGCATGTCCGGAGTGCGACAAGAGCTGCCAGCAGGGATGCTGGGGCGAGGGTCCAGAAAATTGTCAGATGTTCTCCAAGACGAATTGCTCCCCTCAGTGCTGGCAAGGAAGGTGTTTCGGCTCGAATCCTCGAGAGTGTTGTCACCTGTTCTGCGCAGGGGGATGCACGGGCCCCAAACAGAGCGACTGCCTCGCCTGCAAGAACTTCTTCGACGACGGAGTATGCACGCAGGAGTGTCCACCTATGCAAAAGTGAGCATCCTTTGAATTTGGTAATAAAAAAAATAAAACAAGAAGAAGGATTAATTGGTAAGGTACTTTAATAACGTGGTTTCTCAGGTACAACCCGACAACGTACTCCTGGGAGGCGAACCCTGAAGGGAAATACGCCTACGGGGCGACCTGCGTCCGGAAGTGCCCTGAACACCTGCTGAAGGATAATGGAGCCTGTGTGAGGTCCTGTCCCCCGAAGAAGAAGGACGTCAACGGGGAATGCGTCCCTTGCGATGGCCCTTGTCCCAAAACTTGCACCGGGGTCGACAAGGTGCACTCGGGGAACATCGACAGCTTCAAGGACTGCACCATCATCGAGGGCTCCATCACCATCCTGGACCAGAGCTTTGAAGGATTCCAACACATCTTCGCGAATTTTACCTTCGGCTCGAGATACGAATCCATGCACCCGGACCGCCTGGAGGTCTTCAGCACGCTCAAGGAGATCACCGGGTTCCTGAATATCCAGGGGGATCATAAGGACTTCACGAATTTGTCCTATTTCCGGAATCTGGAGATTATCGGGGGGAGGACCCTGACGGAATACTTCGCCTCGCTGTATATAGTCAAGACTGCTTTGGTCTCTCTTGGTCTCAGCTCCTTGAAAAAGATCTCTTCAGGGTCGATAGCTATTCTGGAGAACAAGGACCTGTGCTATGCCCAGAGCATCGACTGGTCCAGGATCAAGAAGTCCTCCGAGCACGAGAGCCTGCTCTCGAATAACAAGAACGAGAGCGACTGCAGTGAGTGGTCTTATCAATCTATGCGTTCGTCATTTTTATCGGTGATTCTTTTTAATAATCCCTTTTTTTTATCTCAGTTAAGGAAGGACTCGTGTGCGACGAGCAGTGCTCCAAAGAGGGATGCTGGGGCCCGGGTCCAGCGCAGTGTCTCTCCTGCAAGAACTTCATCTTAGGAAACGTGTGCATACAAGACTGCAACGCCATTCCTGGGTAAGTTTTGGGGAAATCCCAGTGGTACCATGAAATCTTGGTGGTTTATGAATTTTAATATCGAGAACGTTACTCTGTCGATGCAGACGATGGACCGAAGGTAAATTCGCCCCTCTGAAGACTCGATGTTGCGCTTTTGCCATTTTATTTCCTCGCTCCTGCTTAGTGTAAAAAATTAATAACTTTCGGGGGGGCTCAATCGTTCCATTGATTTTTAGGATCTACCAGGCGGACTCGCGGATCTGCAAGCCCTGCCACGAGGAGTGCGACGGCAACTGCACCGGTCCGAATACCGAGCATTGCCACAAGTGCAAGCACGTCCGAGATGGTCCATTCTGCGTGCCCGAGTGTCCAGCCTCGAAGTACAATGACAACGGCCAATGCACGCACTGTCATGAGAACTGCGTGGGAGGATGCGAGGGTCCCGAGAACAACATCGGTGCCAACGGCTGTCACAGCTGCGAAAAAGCTATTATGAACGGGCACGTGCCCGAAGGGTGCCTGCAGAAGAAGGAGGCTTGTCCTGACGGTAGGTCCTCTTCAGCAGGTGCAAAGAATTCCAGGCTTTCCATATTTGAAAGTCAATTAATATTGAGAAAAATGTACCTTTCCGCAGGATACTTCTACGAGTGGGTGGCTCTCCAGGAACAGGGGGCGTTGAAGCCTCTCGCCGGGAAGGCCGTGTGCAAGAAGTGCCATCCTCGGTGCAAGAAGTGCACCGGCTTCGGCATCCACGAGCAAGTATGCCAGCTGTGCACCAAGTACAAGAGGGGGGAGCAGTGCGAGGACGAGTGTCCTGCGGATCACTTCACGGATGCCGACACGCACCTCTGCATACCTTGCTTCGGAGAGTGCAGAGGGTGCTTCGGACCTGGTCCCAACCAGTGCTACAGTTGCCGGAACTTCAAGATCTACACGGTGAGTGATAAAGCGAGGTAGAAGATTCGCTCTTCAAGGTGATGGGTATCAATGGTTCACGAGCGGATGACTGACGTGATTCCTTCCAGGATGGCGACCCAGGCGACAACGGGACGGCCTTCAACTGCACCGAGACGTGTCCTCCGGAGTATCCCCACAAGATCTTCCCAGCTGGCAACGAACCCTACTGTTCCCTGGAATCGGTTGCCTACCAGCTGGAAGGGGAACTTCAACCCGCCATCCTGGCAGGCATCGGCATCTTCACGGCCGCCTTCATGGCAGTGGCCGCAGTGGTGGTCTGCCAATGGAGGCTCAGGACCAAAGCGAAGGAGAACACCGTCAAGATGACTTTGGCCTTGACCGGCCTGGACGACAACGAGCCTCTGAGGCCAACCGGAGTCAAGCCAAACCTGGCCAAGCTGAGGATCATCAAAGAGGAGGAGATGAGGAAGGGTGGTATCCTGGGGTACGGCGCTTTCGGGAACGTCTACAAAGGTGTCTGGGTTCCCGAGGGGGAGAACGTGAAGATCCCCGTGGCCATCAAGGTTCTCCACGACGGGACCGGTGCAAATACCTCTAAAGAGTTCCTGGACGAGGCTTATATTATGGCCAGCGTCGAGCATCCGAATCTTCTTCAGCTTCTCGCGGTCTGCATGACCTCGCAGATGATGCTGGTGACCCAGCTCATGCCGCTGGGTTGTCTGCTGGATTTCGCAAGGACCTACAAGGACAAGATCGGATCCAAGCCCTTGCTGAACTGGTGCACCCAGATAGCTAGGGGAATGGCGTACCTAGAAGAGAGGAGACTGGTCCACCGCGACCTGGCTGCCAGGAACGTCCTCGTCCAGACGCCCAATTGCGTCAAGATCACCGACTTTGGTCTTGCCAAACTATTAGACATCAACGAGGAACAGTACAAGGCTGCCGGTGGGAAGATGCCCATCAAGTGGCTGGCCCTGGAGTGCATCCAGCATCGCGTCTTCACCCATAAATCCGACGTATGGGCCTTTGGGGTCACGATCTGGGAGGTGCTGACTTACGGCGGGAGACCCTACGAGAACGTGCCCGCCAGGAACGTCCCGGAACTCCTGGAAAAGGGTGAAAGGCTTCCCCAGCCGGCGATCTGCACGATCGACGTCTACATGATCATGATCAAGTGCTGGATGCTGGACGCAGAATCCAGGCCGAGCTTCAAGGAGCTCGCCGAGGACTTCGCCAAGATGTCCAGGGATCCTGGAAGGTACCTCGCCATCAAAGGGGACAAGTACATGAGACTGCCTCCGTATACTCTGCAGGTACTTCGTGCTTCCTTAGTCATCTTCTCCTTTTTTACCCTAAATATAAAGAACAATTTTGAAATTACCGGGATTATTTATGTTCAGGACGAGAAGGAAATGATCCGCAACCTCGCGTCAGCCATGGACGGCCCCGAAGCACTGGTGGACGCCGACGAGTACCTTCAGCCGAAGTCGAGGGCACCTCTTCCTCCAGGGATCTCCGCATCGAGTACTTCGGGATCTCCTCCGAATACGCCGATCAAGACTTGCTGGCCCAACGGGGCCCAGCTCGCAGCGGATTCGCCGACCCCCCAGAACCAGCAGAACTGGGACCGGGAACTTCTGAGATATGGCCATGGCCACGGGGGCATGGTCGGTACCGGTGGTGGTGCCGGAGGAGGTGGACCCCATGGAAACGGAAACACTGTCCATGAACCTGGGAACTCGGGTCAGCATCCTCTGTACTCTCGACCGAGCGGTCACTGCGGTCACTTCGTAGTGGGGTCCGATGGGTCCAGCTCGAGGTACTGCTCGGACCCCCTCAAGATGGTCGGCGTTAGAGGTTGGTATCGTTTACCTAGTTAACCGAGATTTTAATTTCAAAGGAAGATCAATTTTAAAGCAGCCTTCTGATTAAATCCTCCAAATTTCAGATTGCGACGTGACGGACGACTGCTACGACCCTGACCTAGGCTCGGCGCACCAGCAGGCACAGGTGGGTAACCTGAAGCTGGATCTCCCTGTGGACGAGGACGACTATCTGATGCCTTCTCCTCAGCTCCCCAGCACCGCGACGCAGTACATGGACCTGATGGGCCAGTCGAAGTCCTCGACGACCGGTGAGGGCGAGCTCTCATCCGCAACCCGACCTCGAGGAGGTCGACCGGCCGACTCGCAACGAGCGTTCGCGGTAATCGGCCGCGTGATTTCAGAGCCGGAACAAAGGAGGACGAGCAACGGGTACCGGAAGTACCCGGACTTCCTGGCGATCCCGGGCAAGACCTCGGTGGATAACCCCGAGTACATCATGTCTCAGGACGAGGGCCCGCTCACCCCTCAGACCCTCGGCATCCCGACGCCGGACCTCGAGAAGGTCCTCACCAACGGCGCCTTCGGCTCCCAGGTCAGACAACGAAGCTCCGAGGAAGAGTCCGACCACGAGTACTACAACGACTTCGACCGACTGGAACGCGAGCTGCAGCCACTGAAGCCTCTCAGGAAGAACGAGACCACGGTCTGACGAAATCCCGTACCTGAGCCGAAGCGCGCGAGCTTTGGAAGTCGCGTGCACAGGCGCCCGACGACGTTCCCCCGGTAGTACCTGGACCGGTGACCACCCGGGACTCGCAGGGGGATGTCGAATCATTCGGAAAGATCTTGGACGGTCTCCAAGAGGGGCGACTTTGGGACCCTCGCGAGCTGACGTCCCTTTTATCCTTGCTGGGGGGCAGAAAGTCCTTCCCTTTCTCGGATGAAACCCTTAGACTCGGCATGACGCCGCTGTTCGATGTCCAGGAGTCTGCCCCCCGGACGCGTCGCGACGACGATAAATTTTACTCTTAAGCTCGCCGGGTCCCCCGGAATTCCCATCGACCCGAGGAACCTTGGTCGTAGATTCGTTCGGATCCCGAATCACGCGAGTCCTCCTCGGGGGGCCTCCAACGCGCCGGAGACGACCGACCCTCGAGAGTCCTCGAGGAAGGCGAGAAGCTTGCCAAACTCGGATCCCCAGTACTTAGAGGACGCTCGCTGTGACAGTGCCGCGTTCGAATGTGATCACGCTTAAATTAGGGGAACGGAGGGAAAGAGGCTCGCTCCCGAAGACGTCGCCAGGGGACGCCACGTGGCAGACCCTCACGACGTAGAGTTACGTTCCGTTCGACGTACACCGAACTGTAGTGCAAAAGTATTCTTAATGTGCCATTCGCCGTGGCTTGTACATACAACTGTCATACCTATGGTTACTGAACTAGCTTAGCGTGGTAACTATTATACATATATATATATTATACATGTACTAGCGAGCCTCTGCCGACTCGCGGTGTCGGAGTCCATTTGCGATTTTATACGATAAAATTATACAAAAGCGGGGCAGGACCGGCTTCGGCGTCCCGATACCGCTATCCTCTTCACCTTGATCAAACTGCGCGCGTTTTTTCTCCGCCTAGGGGGCGACCTGTCTTCTTTGCAAACCGAATTTCGACTTTGGGCACCGCGCGCGCAGTACGCGGGACGTCCGCAACGTCCTCGCGCGCTGCCTCGAGAACGCCGCTAACTGTGATAAGAAACTTTCGGTCGTCCGGACGAACTTAAACGGCGCATATGTAGATTCCTCACGGACGTTCGGTAAATTAAGTTAATCGTTAAGACGAGGCTAGGGAGGAACGTCGCTGTCTCGACATGGCCAGTGTCCGCGAAACCCACGAATCTCCTGGTGGACGCTTCGCGTGGAATCGAGTCGAGGATGATATGTAAAAAAGAAAATAATGTTCAGAAAAATGAGCGACGAAACGACGAGGAAACGGAAGCACTCGTCCTCGCGGGATTATATACACGCGGACCAATGAAATTGGACCCAGGTGGAATCCTCTTTTCTCGGGAAATCTTTATTTTGATACCGATGTAAATATATTCACGTGACGTAGCCTCTAGGTGAATTTACTACGAGGTAGAGAGCGAAAGTACTTGAACGCACAGTTAAGGGCCGTTGGTGTGTAGTGACATTGTAATCCGTACGGATAATTGGAGAGGACTTCGGGGATATGTGCGAACATCGATGAACTCATTAGTTTTAACTGCTTTTGTGAAATTTCCTGGACTCGTTCCTGGAAATGAGTTTAGGATTATCGAAAGTTTTAGAGACGCTCCGACGCGCAGAGCCATCTGTAGAGGTTTTAGCTAACAATTGATCTTCTCTTACCGTAGAATTCGTTGCATAAGAAATTTAATGTGTTAGTTCATCGCTGCCTTGTTATATCCGTTTTTATGAGTTACAGGCGAGGTCCATATGTCCTGTTTTAATGTTTTAAGGGGTTTTCTGCCCAGTCGTATACTATACATCAATGGTGCCTGCGTAGTTGTAGGGTAGGACGTGCCATGCTGTACAGGACATAGAAAGAAGAGATTAACTGGCCATTCCGACGTTTGCCAGTGCATACAACGCATTAAAATTACCCAGACGAGAGTCAGTTCTCCGTACCGAATGCTAATACACGGGAAAAAGACTTGAAAATTATTAACGAATACCTGGTTACGTGGTGTAAAGAGGAAGTACCATTGGTGCTTCTCAATGGCTGCAGCTTCGATGCAACGGTTGCAGCCTCGGTGTCTGTTTTTTCTATTTTCGAGATGCATGCCTGTTGAACGTTCATTCGCTTGCATTGTTAACAGACTTTTTTCCGTGTATCGCTAGCCCTGGTAAAAGGTAAAGAAAATCGAGTACAATTTTCCGCTAATTCCACTGCACGGTCGTGTCACCGTGTTCTTACATTCGTAGCTAAATAAGGAAATACGTATAGTGTACATTGTGCTAAGTGTTACTAATTATGATTTCTGTCTTGTAATATAAAAATTGATTCGCGTTTGAGAGACGCGAAGAGAATGCTACCGTTCGTCCGTTGCCACTTTTTTTGATCGGACTCTGGATAACTCGATCCGGCTCGGAAGGACGGAGCCTTTGTAAATTACCATTATGATCAAATGACGAGAACCGTAGTTGAATGAAATTGCATTTGTCATTCGGTTGTGGACATAGAATTTATAGATTTTTATTATATCACTATATACCGTTACAAATTATTGTAATAAAGATCATTTTGTCATTCTTAAAGTATGACTTGGATTTCTTTTTTCGGGTCATACCAGCTAGGCAATAAGTTTGACATTCGAGGTATAATAATTACAAAATATCCATTAACCCATTACTCGGAAGAACCTAGCAGCTCCTTTTGCTTTAATTCGAGAATACTTTCAGCTTCCTTAATGTACTGGCCACTGAGCGCATGGAGTTGTTCCTTTACTCTATGCACCTGATCTTCGGACACACCTGTGATCTTCTTCAATTTCTTCAGGTGTGTATTTTCTACCTCTTTGATAATATCTCGACACTTAATGAAAATACTTTTCGCACCTTTTGATAAATTCTCTCTATGTTCTTTCGTCACTCTGAATAGGACAGGCAATAATTATAAGTACCATTGCGTATACAATAAGATTCATAATTTAAAGATAAAAAAGCAGTAAATGATTTAACTCACTTTGGAATAGCTATGTAAAGGTTCGTACCATCCTGCTGTGGATTCAAATTCATTCCACTTTTAAGTAATGCATCGATTATTTGTGGAATTGCTTGGGGAAACGTAGAGACATTTAAAGCTATTAGTTTAGGTTTTCGAATAACTTTCGCGAGCTCTTGTATTGTATATTCCTTGTCTTCAAATGTAACAGGAATCTGTTCGAGGGAACCAGCTGATGAACGCACGCTTATATTTTTTATAAAATTAGCTTTCATGTCCTCAATGGCTTTTTGCATATCGGTTCGAATGCGCTCAGCATCTAAAAGCTCAGCTATCTCATTTTCATTAACTTTCGGAGGCTTCGAAGGCTTCTTCTTTTCCTTTACACGGTCTTTTCCCTTGGCAAACAAACTTGCAGCCACAGTAATACCTCGTGCATTGTTATAGACTAATTGCTCTCTACAATGTTCAATTCGACTCATCCCTTTAATAATACAACTCGAATCGTTCTTTATATTCAGAAGAACTAACCTACCGATGCATGAATTCAGGCGTCTACCTAATTCTATCCAAATCCTCATTTTGCAGGTTGTTAAGGAAAACTTTAATCAACGAACCTACTAATTGTGAAGAATCATTGCACGTGAAAACCTGGTAAAAAACAGAAATACCGGTGAGGAAGGTAAAGTTAGGTTAGACCAGATACATTTTCTACGGTAACTTACGTTCCAGGACGTTTATTAATTAATCCAGTTGTGTTCTGTTTATATTCGGACTATTTATATTTATAAACTGTTGCCAAGATAGTAAACGCAAGGAAACATGAATTATCGTAGACAGAAATGAATGAACCCAGAAAATTCAAAAAGCCTTGAATGGCACCAGAGACCAACTCATTTCTGATGGCACTTTATTGCACCGGTTGGTTAGAAAAGTTGTCGCCATCTTGCCTACACGGCGCTATCTGTCGTCATCACAGCTAAGCGTTTCATGCTATTCATTATTAATTAGTTAAAAAAAAAGTAGAATTGAGTGAAAAAAATATAGGAGTAAACAAGAAGCAGTTGTTGCAAAAAATATATAATTCAATTAGGGAATAGATTGATACAATGATTTCTATCGCTCTAATTTATCTCTAAACGGATACGCGAGGTATACACGGCTTGAATTAGAACCGCTCATACCGCGTTTATCAAAGTTTAATTCCGAATAGAAATGATTAAAAAAGTAGCTTAGCCACTTCGTTATCCTTGAATATAATACTTATTGCTGCCTATCCCTGCCCACCGATTCTCTTCATCCGAGTAACATTCGCAAGAAATAGATTCTAAAATACACTCGGTGAAACATCGCGCAGGGTTCAAATCCAAGTCAGTGAGAGTTCATAAATTTCAACGAATACTGTGCATCTGGAACAATGTTCACGTTAAATTTGCATGGCGTTGTGTCAAGACGAATCCACCATTGACTCACTCAACGCTTTATATACCGATCTCACTATGTGACGATCAACGTGTTCGGGGATCCATGGATCCACGAGTCAACAATGAAAACAACGTTCCTTGATCTAGTCATTATCACGCAGTGGCGAATCAAACGAGTCCCCACGATAACTGTCCACAAATTTTAAATCTGTGACTGGCTACCCCACATTCTCGGTACAGCTGTTCTCATGAGCTTCTTGCCGATAGTCTGCACTACAAAACCGAATTTCTGTAGCTGATCGTGGTTAAGGATCTTCCTGCCGTCGAATATATAAGCAGGCTTCATCATGTTCGCGTAGATCCTCTTATAATCCAATTGCTGCAAAATTAGAAAAAGGAAATAATCAGTACAGCCATTACTCCTCAGATCAGACGTTCAATCTGCAACGGTGTCGTACCATAAATTCGTCCCATTCTGTACATAAAACAATGGCATGGGTGTTTTTAGTAGCACTATAAGCATCGCCATATATGCGAATGCGGCTTTTAACGTATTCTGGACTGCTCGTCACACAGGGATGCGTCAGGTCCTCAATTATCTGGAACTCTTCCACCTGCATGGAAGGTTGCGAAGAAACGTTTAGCCGTATAATATCTTATCACAATATTTCATGCGTTTTACGTCCATATGTAGAAGCTCACCTTGGGGTCATAGATGTGCAAGACCGCTCCTTCGTCCAGCAATGTTTTCGCGACGTGTATAGCCGGCGACTCGCGAGTGTCCCCGGTGTTCTTTTTAAATGCGAATCCCAGCAGGGTTATTCGCTTATCGGTGACGGTATTGAAAAGGGACTCGATAACTTTGGCGGAGAACCTGGACTTCTGGTACTCGTTCATGTCGATGACCTGCTGCCAGTAGGCCGCAACCTCGGGCAGGTTGAGGCACTCGCAGATATAGACTAGATTCAAAATATCCTTCTGGAAGCAGGAGCCCCCGAAACCGACCGAGGCCTGCAAGAATTTCGACCCTATTCGAGAATCGAGACCGACCGCTCGGGCCACTTCGGAGACGTCCGCGCCGGTTACCTCGCAAACCGCCGACAGGGAATTAATGCTCGATATGCGCTGAGCCAAAAATGCATTGGCAGCCTGAAAAGCAAAAATAGTTTCAACGCCCAAGTCTACTAATACCTTATAATTATCAGCTAATCACCCAACTAGAAAAAAAAAAAAAAAACAGACAGCGATAAGTTTCTTATCACTGAGTGGTAAACGGAACACCCCGATAAAAATCCCCAAAAAATTTCCCTCGAGTCGAGACTCTTGTACCAACCAATTTCGACAATTCCGAGCTCCATGTATTGGTCGTTAATATATTTTTCCTAGGGATCCAGTGCTCGTACACTTTGCAGAGCTCCTCCACAGCTGCATGACCCTCGAGTGTGTCCTCGCCTCCGATTAAAACGCGATCTGCGTTTACCAGGTCGTCAATGGCAGTCCCCTCGGCCAGGAATTCAGGGTTCGAGAGGATCTGAAAAAGCAGCACTATTTGTTACTTTCGCGTTACGATTACTCTATCTCCAAGTTATTAGCAGAACGCCCACCTGATACGAGACACCGGGCTTGTGGTTGGCTCTCAGGATGTTGAGGATGCTCTCAGCAGCCCTGACGGGCACGGTGCTCTTTTCCACGACGATTTTATCCCCAGTCGCGGTTTCGGCTATCATTCGAGCTGCGCTCTCCACATACTTTAGATCGGCTGCTCTACCTTTACCGCTACCAAAGGTTTTCGTCGGCGTGTTAACCGAGATAAAGATCAAATCGGCTTCCCTGATAGCGGTTTCGATGTCGGTCGAGAAGAAAAGGTTTTGGCCTCGGCACTTTCTCACGACCTCGTCAAGCCCGGGTTCGTAGATCGGCAGTTTTTCCGAATTCCATTGATCGATCCTCTCCTTGCTCTTGTCCACGACCGTCACCGTGATCTCAGGACACTTGAGCGCTATCACGCTGCACGTGGGGCCACCCACGTAGCCCGCTCCGATTCCGCAGATCTTCCTGATGGACATCCTGAATCTATCCCGACTCAAGCCTAAAAACATGAATGAAATCTAGTACAACGATCAAAGCGCGCACCTAAATCTACATCTAGGTCCATTGGGCGGAAATGGAGCTTCCGGTACCCTGAAATCTCTACCGAGGCACGGCCGAAAGATGTTTCAAAGCTTCCCTCCACGCTCCCGTACTCCTTAGAATTTTTCCTATTTTTTTAAAACTCCATTCTATATAGTCTCTCATAAGCACACTTGTAAATTAAGCGTATCGACATTCACAGAAAAGTATTAACAGGCGCGAATCACCATTAGAAAAGTGGTAGTTTAATTTACAAGTGACCTTAATTCATAGGTGAGAGGATCGTCGTCCTTTCGTAAGATCCGTCAATCATGCTTAATCGAGAAGTCCATGCATTGACGTGTCTCGAAACGAACATAAAAAGTTCACGGATACGACTAGATAAATTATTCATTTAAATGATTACCCCATGGATTCGACGTTACCTCTGGCGCGAAACCTTGGCCGCGTCGCGACACCCGACGTCGCTTCACAGCGACACTGTTGGGCGTTCGTCTTCCTCGGTCCTTGGAACGCCGGCTAAAAAATGCGATGCTTATGCCGCGATCGAACGATCACTTGGGTCGGCCTTGGCGGGTCGACGTGCACAGCAGTGCGATGGTTTGCAGAGTTGGCAGTGAAAGACGTGAATCAGTCGAGATTAAACAGAAAAGTACGCGCCACGGATGACGGGCCGGTCATCACTGGCCGTCACTCGACGCAGAGCGTGCAGCAACGGAGAGACGAGTCCAGTCGAGTCCAGAGGAGTCGGTGGCTCATGGCTGCGGCGCCGCGCGATCTGGCAACGCCGGAGCGACCGCGCGAGAAAAAACTCTCCTCCCAACCGTTATAACCTGAATGCCTCGATATTTCTAGAAGATTTTAACGTCTAGAGATACCTGTTCCCTCTTTTTGCAACGATTCACGTGAATAGTAGTATCTGACGTTCTTAACGGTCATTTTGAATTTTGCGCCACGTTTCTCTGACAGTTGACTCACCTTGCGCAGAATCCGGCAACCGCGCCAATAGTACTATCAAGGCGACTCCGAAGTGTTGCGCGCGAGCGTACGAATCGAAGTCGCTGAATTTGTCGAGGTTCGATCAAGTAGATCGTAAAATCGCCGATCGACCGATCGATCGCGCTCAGTTTATGATACCTGCGCACGAAACGACCGCACATGCGACGCGATAACGAGCGCTCGAGTTAACAACTTCCGCTGTTTTTAAACACCCCACTAAAAGACTGCAATAATATACGCGACGCGCTAAATGTGAGGATGGATGGCAAGGTTCTTTTTGAACTATTAGATATTTCAAAAAGAAATCAGACGGGTGAAGTAATCGACACATAAATAACGAGGTTTACGCCGACTCTCGGTAGAGATTAGAAAAAAAGAGATGTTTAACTGAAGTAATCTTTAGCCGTGACCGTTCTTTCAGTCACGTCCAGCTGGATAATTGCAATCTTCGGTACTTAGAACTTCCGAAACAGTCTGGCTGGTTTCTTTCTGATATATCCTTTTGTGTCAGACGATATCCTAACCGTTATCATTTAAATCTGTTACATAGTCTAATGATTGTTTATAGTTCTGAGTAAATTACTGCCACTGAAATGTCAACACGTCCTTCCTTCGTTTTAATGAAACGGGGTGTAAGATAGTTACCGTCACCGGGCGCAATTAAATTATTAATGAGAGGGTGAGTCTAGTTCTCGTGATTGATGTCTATTCAGGAAAATTTAACAGTCGTGCGCAAACTGGCGCACTTGTGAATGGCTCCCAATTTGGGCGGCAGGTGGCGCTAGCGTCGCGTTTCAACCTTACAAATGGCGGCGCGGTTTTCTCGCACAGTGCAAGGTGGCTCCCGGTACATACGAACAAACGCCGGGTGGTAGCGATTGATTTATAAACATTTTAGAGTGACAATTTATGGTAGTCAAATATTCGTGAACGAGGAATCCGAAGGTTTGTAGAAACCGTTAGAGACGAGGAAGTTACCGAAGATACAAGTGCTTGAAAAAGTCGTTGTGACACAGCGGATTTTCCAGGTTATCGGGGTTACCTAACCTCACATTGCTAAGGCCAAGGAGGTGCCGGCTACACCCAAGGCTGTTTCTAGTGCCGAGAGCATAGAGTTTAAGGAAAATTTACGTCGCAAAAGCCATGAACAAGAGGGCTGACAAAGATGATACTCCGCAACAAGTTAAAGATGCTGTCTTGAAACACAGCACTCCTCTTCCACCCAACACACCAACTGTCAAAGGTTTTTTCATATTTTTAAGACGCCTGGTACAGTTGTGACAGGTGTTTAAATTTACATCTGTTGCAAACATCAGGATTTTCAGGCACATGCAAACATCGGCCAACTTTGATTGGGTTACCGCATAAAAAATTCTGATGTTTGCAGGCAGCCATCGAGCTATTGATATTGCGTTATCTTAAGATATCCGTATCGCAAGTACTTGATGCAGTAGATTATGCATTTTTCCTAGATAAACTGTTCCAACAAATAGGAATAAAGTGACAGTGTAGTCTTACGTGGTTTATTAATACCGTAATTATGATTTTTTGGACACAGGATACGATTGGAATCAAGGACTGGACTATGGTGCTCTTCTTGCAACCTATAAGACTTCTGGCTTTCAGGCAACCAATTTTGGTTTAGCTGTCGACGAGGTTCGTAAAATGTTGGCAGCTCGAAAAGTGCCTCTCAACGATGATCAGTTGGACCTCCATGAAGAGGACGAGTTCATCAGAAGGCGCAACGGATGCACCATATTTCTGGGATACACCTCGAATTTGGTATCCTGTGGAGTTCGTAGCACACTTAGGTTTTTGGTGCAGCATAAACTGGTAATACGATCAGAAGTTACCCTTACAATTAATTTATTACATTGAAGCAGTACAGAAGGTGATGATTCGTTTAGGTCGATTGCATCGTCACAACGGCAGGTGGAGTCGAAGAAGACCTGATCAAGTGCCTAGCACCTACCTACATCGGCGACTTCCACTTAGACGGCAAGGTTCTCAGGGACAAGGGCATCAATCGAATAGGCAACCTCCTCGTTCCTAATGACAATTACTGCCTTTTTGAGGATTGGATTACACCAAAGCTGGATGCTTTACTGCAAGAGCAAAAAGAAAAGGTACGATTACAGAACTTGTCTTACCAATCCTGACCTCAACATACCCCATTCAGTGTATACAGTTACCTTTTTCTACTTTTTGCAGGGTACCGTGTGGTCGCCGTCCAAGATCATAGAGAGGTTGGGTCGCGAGATCGGAAACCCGGAATCTATTTATTATTGGGCAAGCAAGAATAAGATCCCCGTCTTCTGCCCAGCTCTGACCGACGGCAGCCTCGGAGACATGATGTACTTTCACTCCTTCCGGAATCCTGGACTGGTGGTCGACATTCTCTCAGGTAAACTTCGATTTTTCGAATTTCATATAAAATTAATTCCTTGCGAAATCCCTCTCTCAAAAACATTGTTCCCGCAGATTTAAAGAGGTTGAACACAATGGCTGTTAAGGCAGTAAAGAGCGGTATTGTCCTTGCCGGGGCCGGAGTGATCAAGCATCACATTTGTAACGCAAACCTGATGGTGGGTAAACCTGAACTATCCTCTAACGATTCCAATTAACAATGAACAAAAAATTCCCTTCAGAGAAACGGAGCGGATTACGCGGTTTATTTAAACACGGCCCAGGAGTTCGACGGGAGCGACAGCGGGAGTCGTCCCGACGAGGCGGTGTCCTGGGGAAAGATCCGCAAGGAAGCCACCCCGGTGAAGGTGAGAGCAACCGTCGGATCGCGCGTTTACCACCCTTCTATTGAATTAATTTCATTAAAGGTTTACGCCGAGGCCAGCCTGGTCTTTCCGCTGTTGGTCGGGGAGACTTTCGTGAGGGAACACTTGTCCACGAAGGAGCGTACGGTGTCGGAGGTTTGAAGGAAATAAAGTACCTGGTCATCTCCTACCACAGTAGCATACCTCGACCTTGACTTTCTTACCCCCTCGTACCCCCTCGAGCAGTAGCCCGGACACCCCGTAGCGAAGGTAAACCATTACTCCAGTTGTACGTAACTTACAAAAACCTCATTCCAAGATCTCAGACCCGAAAGATCCCTCCAGCCCCCCAATCTAACCCCCTCCCCCGTCTAATAAACCCAGTAAAATCTCGCAATAATTAACCCCCAGCTATAAAATACGGTAACAAGTACTCATCCTGATGACTTTTTACCCCCCAGTTACTTTTCACGTCGATTTCCATTAACTACGTGAAAGGCCACAGCGATTTGTAGGAAGATCAGGACTCGTTGCGGCCGATCGAGCGGCAGGGCGCGGAATCGAGCCGCGGGCTCTCCTGGAGCTGTCCCGGGGGCGCCGCGCGTGCGTGCGCCAGGACGCGGCGGCAGGTGCGGCGCAGGGGCGTCGGTGGGGGTAGCGCCGCCCGCCAGTCGTTCCCCGTTAGCCCGCGCTCGCGGACGGGCGTGAGATCAACCCCCGTTCCGCCGGCCCTTCCTCGGGCCCCGAGCGCCGACCCGGACCGCCGCGACGCCCCCACGTCGGCATGAGCAGCGATGGACGCGGAGCGCTCCCACCTGGCCTCCGCCTCGAGCACCTCGCCGAGACCCTGCAGCCCCATCGCGGACTCGACTTTCGTCAGGTACTGCCCTCGCGGCCATGGCGGAACGCGGCGCTACCCCTGCGGCGGCCCCGGGCACCTTCCAGGGGGAGTCTTTACCCACTTTCCGAAGAAAGAGATCTATTTACCGCCCGTTCATCCAGGACTTATCGATTATCTTGCAGGAGGGCTCGTGCACCTGGGTGGGCGACCATTCGTTAATTTATGACTAATATCGAATAACACGCAGGGAGGGAGATCACCGAGGAGGTCGTTTTCAAGGGACGCTAGATCTGGCGATAGGGTTGAAAAAGAGGACCTTGGTAGGGGTTGTCGGGGACGTGTTCAGGTGAAATTATAAAGGGATCTAGGGCGCGGGGGGAGGATAGGGAAGGGTAATTTTGACACGTGAACGGGCGGGGGTTGATAGGGCCTGATGGAACCCTCCCCGTGGACTCGTGTGGGGGTTGCTCCTGGAGATGACCTATATAAGCCCTTTGTGGGGCAGGATGATATTGAATTTTCATAAGACCACGTGGGTGATAACGGAGCACGCGTAACCCTCTTAACGCTCGAGTCTCTTGTGCAACGATACTCCGGGTAACTTAAGCTCGGTTGTATTTGCGAGAACGGCGCTTTCGTCAACTCTGTTTTACAGCTTGACGTTCCACCGGTCTCGATGCCATTGTGTCCCGGACTACCCCCCGGGAGGGCAGTTTGCTTTTAATCGACCCTAACTGGGGTTTTTAATTCATGGAATTAATGGCCAGGGGTAATTCGAGGTGTATGAGGCGAGTTCCATTAATTTCGGGGGAGACGGCGGGGCTCGGTGCGTCTCACCCCGTCGAGGGATGAGCGAGAACACGAGCGTCGTTTTGCTCGCTAGGGGGGGCTGCGGCCGCGCGCATGCGCCCTGGCGACGAGCGACAGGGGATGCTCGCGCATGCGCATCCCGCTCGGCTCGGAGCGCGGACCGACACGGGCTGCAGACCGCCACAGACTTCGTTAAATAATTCAGAGCTTAAGTGCACCGCGCCTAGCTCGAGTCTTTCCATGAAATTCGTTTATGATTTCATGATCCCGGAGGGGAGGCAAGGGGGAGAGCCAACGCCACTCGCGAAAGGGTGTCCCCAGGTTCCCCGGAGTTCCACTTTACCTGAGTTATTTATCCGCCCACCCACCCACCCCCCGGATTGGCGATCTTTTTTCTTTTTTTCCTTCGGTTTCGCTATCGATTAAACCCTCCTCCAAAGTGGGCTTCCCTTAGCCTTTCGATCTCGTTATCTCGACGCGTTATCATTAATCGATTAACAACCGCCCCCCGGGTTTGGGGATCTAGCCCGATGCTCGATCGACCGGGCGTCGATGCCTTCTGGGGGTGGAGGCGCCGGAGAGGGGGTCGAGAGAGAGGGGACAATCGATACGAATGATGCGAGAGAGAGATAGAGACTCTCCCTCTCTACCTATCGCTCTGCTCCTGATATTTACTTCCTGGATCGTTTCTCTTTGGTTTACCGGGTCCCTCGTTCTTTTAGGACAACCCCCAGGATCTCGTCCCTTCGTTGAGGATGGTCCTCCTCGCCATCCCCTGGGTTATACCGACCGGGTTATTCTCGAACGACCTACTGCTATCTGCTCATCGGGAGGATAATTATTATCGACGCTACTCGGAATAGCGATGCGAGTTTCTCGCTCCGTCTAGTGGAGTACCCTGAGAGAGAGAGAGAGAGAACCGCTTACCGCTCGATAACCGGTTTCTCGCGATCCGAAATAGCGCGTCTATTCGCGGCCATTTAGGCGAGCCCCGCGAGAGAGCGAGCTCCTCTCGGGACGGCCGATGCGCTCGTCGTATCACCGCTCGTATCAGTCGGCGCACGCAAGAATGACCGCGCCGGCCCGCGAGGGTTCAACCGGGTAAAGCGCTCTCTTGGGCGCCGATAATTAGAACGTGAAGTAATTGGATCGCTACCTCGGACCCCGTTGCACCCTCGGCTTCCCTGGGTGCCTCGAAATCGGCCAGGCTACGCAGGGTGGAATTTTAGAAAAATCGTATTCATTTTTATATTATAAATAATTGAAACATGGAAAAAATTGAATCACCAACTCGGGTGAATTTTGTCGCACATTCATCCACCATGGAGTGCGTCGAAATCGGCCATGCTACGCAGGGTGGAATTTTAGAAAAATCGTATTCATTTTTATATTATAAATAATTAAAACATGGAAAAAATTGAATCACCAACTCGGGTGAATTTTGTCGCACATTCATCCACCATGGAGTGCGTCGAAATCGATCACGCTACGCAGGGTGGAATTTTAGAGAGATCGTATCTATTTTAAATAATTAAAACTCCGGCAACCCCGTCTACCCTTTCAGCGTACCTCCGGTGCGTCAAAATCAGCTGATAGGGTGGCTGATTTTTATAGACGCGTATTCATGCGTTATAAATAATTAGAGGAAATTACGAAGGGATAACGGGTGCTCCTGTGGGGGTGGATTTCTTTTTATCAGAGAAATCCAGACTTATATGTAGAGGAAAGGCGGAATTCGTCCAAGCCCTGATACCCCAGGAGAAGAATGCTCGCCGATCGATGAAACCTTAGGATAAAGAACTCGCGCCCCCCGCGACCCCCGAAGGTGTCACTTCCGACCTCCGACCTTGGACCAAATTCGACTCGTCCGAAGGTCCTTCCGGGTAGATACGTTATGGATACATTATGGATGTTTCCATTCCAGCGCCAAGAGGGAACCCACCCTGGAGGACCCGAGCAGCCCTCTCGAGGCCGCCAGCCCTGGCTCTATCCTACGCACCTCCGGTGAGTCTTGACGCCTTTCTGCCCAGTATTTACTAAGATTTCGATTAAACCGAATCCTAGGAGATTAAGTCCTCGCGTCTTGTCCCGAATGGCGAGGAAAAAAAAAGAAAAAAAAAGTCCCTAGTGTCTCGATCGAGACTTATCGCGGCTATATCGCGTGCGCCGAAAATGCGGCTCGGCGATTCTAATATTAGGAGTACCGAGGTCACCTTTCAATTTGCTGGATCAATTGTCTCCGGGAATCGCGTCGGCGGTTATTATTAGTCTAAACGCGGAATCGCTCGGATCCTCCGCGGCTAAGAGGAGCCGAGAGGGTCCTGTACCATCCCCCGATATCACGTCAGGGAAAAGGATAAGAAAGAGTGGGATAAAGAAATATCTCGAAAAAAAAAAAGAATTCCCACCGATCCCCCCAGACGTTCTTGCGTTTCTGCACGCGGATGCATCTCCGCTGGCGCTTCACGGCGAAGGATCCCGCAGGCGGAAGTTCCGCGTGCGGCCCCTCTCCGTCCTCTCCCTCCGGGCCTGCCTCCATCCATCTTCCTCCCCGGTAATTGAATTCTGCCATTTCCATTCCGCGCGGACGCAATCTGCCCAGGGAGACCTGGAGGAGTCCTGATCGAGGAGCGATCCCCGGTGCATCTCGATCGATCTCTCTAGAGAGAAAGAGTCGATGCGTCCAGGTCGCGATGGACGTCGGGAGTTCGATACCTCGTGACAACGACCTCGGATATGCCTTCCGATACCCCGATATATCGACATATCGTCGTACGGAGGATCGAATCGAATTAAAATCCCCCCGGAACGAATTATCTCTAATCGATGACTCGATCGATCCCTGACAAGTATTTATTAAAAGTATGTACGTATGTATTTTTTTTTTTTTTTTTCTGGTGGACACCGATCGACGCGGTACAGTCGATCGATCGCTCTACGGCGCCTCGTAAAATCGATCGCTCGTTACCTCGAGAAGGTATTACGAGTCGAGAGGCGAGGCTAAAAGAGCCGGCGATGCTCCCTCCGTGATAGCAGCCGACCTTGGCCCTGACGTCGATCAGCTGATCGGCCGTTATCGGCCGCATGGTCCGCGGTAATCAAGAGTGGCCGCAACCGGCGAATTACGGATGCAAGTGGATCGCGATAAATAGGACGGCCAAGACGCCGGGCGTCGATTAAAATTATCGCGGACGTCGGGGTGAACGCGGACAAATTGGTCCTCGAATTCACGATGTACGGATCGAAGGGTACGTGTTTTTTTTTTTCTTTCTTTTGTGTCAGATCGAAGGGAATGTGTTTTTTTTCTCTTTTGTTTCGTTTCGTTTACGGGGGAAGATCGAAGGGTAATTTCATTTATATCCCGGGATTTACTTTGCACGGGGAAACGCAGTGGGTCTATTTCTCGGTGCTTTAGCCTCTTTCCGCGTTATACCGGGGGGGCCTCGTATTACGCGGCCGCGAGTCGGCGTGCCTCCGCGTAATATAACGTATACGGCAAACCGATCTGTATACGCGCGCGGATGTAACCGGTTCTCCAGGTTCA